AAATTAAACACTATCTAAAGATTTGCATCGAAGCGTTTTTTTTTGATAGTGATTTTAATCACTGTCAGATATCATTATACTTGATCCAACTATGCCACGTCACCACTGTGCCGCGACCCCCCTGTGCTGGGTTTTTTTTGATTTATTATTTAATACGTTTAATGTTATAAGCGGTGTAAATTTTTCCGGGCGACTTAGTTTTTTTGGTTCTCTAGTTCAATATCCAATAGTTCATCAATTTCAGTTTGATTGACTTCGGATACATTAACATTTCTTTTTTTCAAATATTGTAGCTTGTTCCGACAAAGTTGAAGTGGATGATAACGATTAGGTTTATTTAGAGCCTCACGCATATAACAAGGCTCTTTTTTAGAAAATCCTTTTGGTANATATAACAAGGCTTTTTTTCAGAAAATCCTTTTGGTGCTACATTATACTTCTTGTCAACATTACTCTTTCCCTTTATAATTACATTATTATTATTATAATTAGATTTCATCTTATCATCTTTTTTATATTGGTTTTTTTCTGAATCATACATTCTTATTTTATTCATTAATAAATCTATACTTGTTATCTCCTCCTTATCCAGTTTATCTTGTACATTTAGCGGTAAGCCCATAACAATCAAATTTATTCTAGATGATTTGACATAGAACTCTCAATTTCTAGTATTAAACGTTCCTTTTTTATAGCATAGTCAATTAATAATCCATTTAAATATTTAAAGTTATATGCAAATCTGACATTTGCCCAACTTTTATCAGCATAGACTTGTAAAAAGGACCCTATCCAATCTGACCATTTATTTATTGATAATTTTCTTAAATTTGAATTATACAATTCTTTTGCACTCTCTTCTAAAAAAAATTTTAAACTTTGTATCTTCTTAATTTCTTCTATGACTTTATATCTATCACACTCTTTTTCAAATTGGTCTAACCATTCTTTTGCATTCTGTCTACCGTTAAATTTATCTATAATAAAGTTTTTTTCTATATCAGCTAATGATATCTCTCTTAATTCTAATTGAGCTTTTAAATCCATACACAATTTCATTAAATCATTTTTATCATCCACTACAAATTTATTTTTATCTGCATTAATTTTTTTTTCGTCTAATTCGTCAAGATAATATGATCTGAATACAAAATTACGTTGGTCATCAGTGTACAATGCACTTACCTCTTCCGATAACACAACCGTTATATTACGAAATTAAAAAATTATATATTATATTTTTGAATCTAAGAATTACTAATCTGGATATAATTAAGGAAATAGGTAAACTGATGTTACTTTTGTAATTATCCACCAATTTCTTAGAATTAAACACTATCTACAGATTTGCATCGAAGCGTTTCTTATGATAGTGATTTTAATCACTGTCAGATTAAATCTATACTGGACTTAACTATGCCACGTCCCAACTATGCTGCGATCCCACTGTACTAGGTTTTTTTTATTTAAATTCATACATTTATAATTTTACAAAAAAAAAAAACAAATACTGACGTGACTAATTATACTAATGAAACGATACAGTAGAACCCCTCTAGTCCGCCCTCGGCTAGTCCGTCACCCCGGCTAATCCGACCGTTGTCAGAATCGAAAAACATATCTCGACTTGTTAATGATTTAATTACGATCGCGATTAAATCAAAGGAACCATTGCTTCTTGCAGCAACGGTGATGGTTCACACAAGCTTCCGCTTTTCGTTATTGGTAAATATAAGAAGCCTAGGGCATTCAAAAACATAAACATGTCTTCCTTGTTGGTTTATTACCGCAATCAAAAATCTGCTTGGATGGATTACAAGCTTTTCAAATATTGATTCTTCGACGAGATTGTTCCATCTGTTGAAAAAAACTTGAAACAAAAAATGCTTCCCGTTCGTGCTCTATTGCTGTTGGATAACGCACCATCACATACATCAGAAGAAGATTTAGTGAAAGGGGACATTAAAGCTATCTTTCTTCCACTAAATGTCACATCACTTATCCAACTAATGGATCAGGGAGTGATAGAATGGTTAAAGAGGCGCTATCGTAGAAAGTACATCAGTTCAATTTTAGAAAAGTTCGAAGAAGGTTGTAACTTATTTGAATCTATGAAATCCCTCAACATCAAAGATGCTATTTATACGATTGCAGAGTCATGGGAGGAACTTAGACCTGACACGCTGAGAAAATCTTGTCGTAAGCTTTGATCGGAAATTATGGCCGAAAGTGACCAGATAGAAAATGAGCAAAACAACGACACGCAGGAAATCATTAAAGATCTGCAAACTGTACAAGTGATTATCCCTGCCAATGAAGTTAAGGAATGGATGACCAAATGTGATGAAGATTACGAAAAAAGTGAAGACCTCAATGACAATGAGATTATTGCCGCCGTTTTGGAAAATAAAAGTGAAGAAACTATAAACGAGGACTCAGATGATGATGACCAACCTCCTGCCCGGATTTCACACACCGACGCCAAAAACGCTTTTTATATTGCAGTTCAGTACATTGAGCAGAACTCAAGCACAAAACCTATGGACATTTTGTGGATAAATAAATGGAGGAATATTGCAGCTAATTCAAGAATTTCATCTGTTAAACAAAAAGTATAATTGACTTTTTTTGTAAATAAATTTTTAATTTAACTTTTTTCTTTAATTTTTTAAAATTTTACTTTTTCGGATAATCCGACCTTTTTTGCGTTCCGACCATACCCACGGTCCCGAAGTTGACGGATTAGAGGGGTTCTACTGTAATATAGAAAACATAGTACTTAATAAATATCTTTGAATCTTTGAAACAAAGATAACATACAAATAATTTTTAGTAATTCATATTTATTGTAAAATCTATCATCAAAATAAAAAAATTAATCAATATTACATATATGTCTATATTAGTTTTAAAAATCAAATATTAGTCTACAATTCCTTTATTTACGATTTTTTTAGTTGCCAGTAGTACCGAGAGTGAAAATTTGAAAAACTAAAAAAAAAGGAAAAAACTAGATTAATAGAATTCTTAATTTGTATATTATATACTTGAGTAAGACTAGGAATTGTAGTGAATCAAAAAAAGAAGAATAATATATAATTTAATACTTTATTGTATTAAATGATATAATTAGGGGGTTATTAATTTAGGGAGCTACTTTGACAGTTACTCAAAACAAATAAGTTAAATAGAATATGACGGGATTTTGATTCTTATTTGATCCACTACTTTATTGTATTAATAATATTATTACTCGGGGTATGAGTACGAGGGTCTGTAAGAAAGATAGAAGATGATAGAAAATAAAGTGATCTTTATTTTATTAATATGGGATTCATTATAATTAATTGTCAATTTTTTGAATATCAATAATGCCACGAGTTTTGACGGTTATTGATGATGNCACGAGTTTTGACGGTTATCGATGATAGGTGGGATTGAGTCACCTCGTGTGTCTACCCAGAGTGGTATGGTGGCTATACATATGAACCTCCAACCTAACTCCTGAAATAGACACGTATCAACGATATAAATCTGCCAAGTAACTCTGTACAAACATTCGATCGATTTATTAAATTTTCTTGGTATATTTATTATTATTGATAATCACTTGATTTTCCTGTATGCCTACTTAATCTATGTACTCATAAAATTTAATTCTAAACCTTATTTATTTTTGGTGAATTTATTAGATTCCTACCTTTATATTTTCTGTGATACTCTTAAATAAATAGATGTTGTATTTTTTTGTACAAATATAATTGTGTTGACGGCGGATCACTTCTTGCATATATTTCGTTGTGTGGAATGATCGAGTGTAGTGAGTGCCTCTGTGAATATCTGACTGCATCTGTCTCAGAATGCTCTTTATTTTTGGCTTTTTATATTAAATTTGATCGTAGTTCAAAGGCAAGAAGTAATCCCCGACGCCACCGTTATTTCTTTATTAATCGTAATTTATTACATGTTATTTATTACATTTTCATCAATAATGATCTACATATTATAAAATACTATTATATCATACATAATAAATTAGACATAGTTTATTACCCTTCATCTTATGTGCTACCATTACATATTGTTTATTATTTCCTATTTGTTTTATATCATTAATATATGCTTTTTTCTACGAAATTTCAGTATATTTAAACATTTAAAAGGTACATCTATATATCTTATTTTTATTAGTATACATTTTATTTTGTGTAATTGATGGATTGAAGTCTTAAATACTACATTATGACATTAATGATCTAATGTATATACAAATAATTTATTATGATATTAATGATGTACTATGTATATCATTACAAAATTATATGCATTTATAAATTTTGTTAAATCCATTTCAATACATTTTTAAGGGCCTAAGTTAATTAGACTATATCGTAGGATTATGTATAGTAGCATATAAATATTTGTTTGGTAGGAATAAACTACTTAATTCTTCGAAAAATTATGTAATAATATATGATATATATGATGTAATAATATATATATTAATAAGAACAATTAATAAAAATATTTCTTGACAAGTAAAATTTCATAAGGTCTCATTAAAATTAAAAATTAACCATGACCTTAATTTTAAAGATGTTGATTAAAAAAAAATGTATACATACGCTTGCATACGTTGCATTGTTCATCCATACTGTAGGTTGAAATATGCATTTACATCTGATTGGTGTATACGACCCTAATATTAAAAGCAACAAATTTTGTTTTATAGTTAAAATTGACGGGTTAAGAATACAAATTCCAAAAGGTTCTTTCACAATTTTAGTTGATTCCTAACAAATTATATATATATTGTTAAATTAAGATTTCGACTATAGTATCAAAAATATAATTATTTTGTAAATCTATAGACTTACTTCTTCTAAGCTAGATCCTACATTACATGAAATGTATAATGTTGTCAAACCCAACAATAAATGACTCATAGGTAAATATTTCATCATTAAAGGCGTATTTGGAATCTAAAAAAAATAATGTGTTATAGGTAATTTTATGTTTGTATTATAACACTATTGTATTCAAAAATAAATTGCAACGGTGTAAAAAAAAATTGTATTTTCTTTTATTTTATTACTTGTAATAAAAACCCAGCACAGGGAGTCGCGGTACAGTAGTGACGTGGCATAGTTCGATCAAGTATAATGATATATGACAGTAATTAAAATCACTATCATAAAAAACGCTTCGATGCAAATCTTTAGAAAGTATTTAATTCTAAGAAATTGTTGGGTAATAACAAAAGCTACATGATCTGCTATTTCCTTAATTATATCCTGATTAAGATAATGTATATTGAATGAAAGATGTATATAAATACAACTTCTAATGAAAAAATTGTATTAATCCATATATGTTTTAAAAAGTTATTACATTTTAAAATAAAAAATTTAAATATAAAATCGAGATTTTTCACACTAACATAGCATTTGGTAGCCATTTTCATCATGAAGACAAAATAAAGTCCGACATTTTTTTTTTCCATAATAAATTACATTACATTAGCTTTAATATAAGATATATATAAAAGTGTCAGACTTTCCGGAACACTTTCAAAAGTTAAGTTGAAAAAAAATTTGAATTCACCCCATACTGTGGTAAAGGGTCAGATTTATAAAAACATATACCAAATGATACGTAAAGACATCATGCATCTTTAAAAAAAATTATATTGATTTGTTTATTTTTGAAAAGGTTATGGCAGTTTTAAGAAAAAAAAATTTCAAAAATTAGCGATTTTTAAATTTGTAATTTTTTTGGAGGTTTCCCCCATTTACGGGGAACGAGAGAAATTTATTTAATTTTTGAGGGTAATTTCTTCGCCTAGATATGATTTATGATGTTTTAACGTATCGTTGAAAGAAATCGGTTTGGTGAGAGCTGAAAAAAATTGGTAACAAGCACAAAATAAAACACATCATAGTAAAACCAATACCTTCTCAGCTTCGCATCAGAGCTAAAAAAAATGTTGTTTTATGTCATATATGTTTTATTTCTATAAATGGTTGCAAAATATATATTTAAAAACTATTTAAAATAGAAAATAAAAAGGTAATGATCGATAGTAACTATTGAATTATTATTTCGGTTGATATTAATATTTTAATGTATTAGATGTGAGAAAAGGATATCGTTATTTTTTTTTTTTGATAGATGTACAAAATCCTCCATTTTGTGTAAAAATTTATAACTTATAAATTATATGTAATTATTTATAAAGTTATAAAAGACAACCGATTATAAAATATGGTGTATTTTGGTGTATTTCTTCTATTTACAGTGAATGAAGGAAATTTTTTAAGTTATTGGAGGTAATGTCTTTTGTTAAATACGATTTGTGATATTTGGACGTGTTGTAGCGAAAGACACAAAAAAAAAATAAATAAATAAATAAACAAGTCGTGCTAAAATTATTGTCTTCTCAGCTTCTCGTTAAGGTTAAAAGCATTCAAAGTTTTAACTTACGCATATGATCATAACCATTATTGAAATATTTTCAATTATAAAAAATGCCAAAAAAAAAGAAAACACTGGTGAATAAGTATTGCAAATATTATTCCCAACTCTAAAAAATAAAATTGTAATTAAAGTTATAATTATGCATGGAAAAGTTATTAAAAACAATATTTAAACTATTATTACTAAAATCCTAATTTTGATAGACATTTTTTAAAAATTCAATAATAAATAATTTACGAGTTAAAGTTATAGTAATACAATTATAAACAGAATAGTTTTTGATGGTCATAATACACCATGCTACTAGAGATTTTTATATAATAGAATTTTTAGAGAATAGTATATCTATTTTTTCAAAAATGCTAAAAAAGTTTTGTTATTTCCCTACTCGTAACAATTGTATAATTATAAATTAGACATAAAAATTTTCCACCTCGTTCCCATGTAATGAACCGACAGCTTCATACTGCAGTAGAGAATAACAATCACGTATATAGCTATTTAAAAATTAAATTAATAAAAATACATGTACAAATACATGATACAAATACAAAATATAAAATACAAATATCGAGTATGTGTTTAGCATTGATAATGGTAACATTGTTTCCGAAATACGTATCCGTGACTATTCATTAATAATAATATTTTTAATATAGTTTTAATTTTATTTAATTAATTAGCTAAAACTGATCAATTTTTGTTATAAAACCTAAAATTTTACCACCTTTGTATGTAGCCAGTGATTTCACTTGGAATCAAATTTTGAGGGGTAGTATTTAGTAAATTATTCTTGAACATGGTTGTGCTATTTATATAAATATATAGAATGTTCATTAAGTAAAGGAAAGGGATTCTGTTGTGTCCCATTGTTTGTTATTATTGAGCTATTTCCTTACTTTTTGAACACTCTGTATAATAAATTTATATCTAATTTAATATAAAATTAAATTTATATCTATGGATCATTTTGTATGGTTCGGATAATTTTAGAACTATTGAATAATCGTATTTTTCGGATGTTTATTGGAAAATTATACTTTTAGTTTTACTGGCCTGTAACATTTAATATTCCGACAAATTAAAAAAAAATAAATAAACACTAGGTTATTTTTAAGTATACAAAATTTGTATATTATTTAATAATATATGTGTTCTTTTCAAATATATTGTTATTATATTGTCTTAACTTGACTAATGATAAAATTATATATATTATCATTGATAATACCTTGAACCCCCTAGATTACGTCTATGAATGCAGACAAGAACATTCCAATCAAAATTAACCATAATATAAGAGCATTAATAGCATAGTGAAGGTTACTCTACATACCTTATAATATTTTGATGGCTTTTAATAGATCCATAAAACAGAGATACAGTAGAACTCCAATTATCCGAACTCCGATCATCCGAATCGCCGATTATCCGAATCACTTTCAGAAAAAATCAGAAAAAAATTTGTCCAAAGTCCGCGGCGTCAGTGTAGGCACAACACGTGGTAAGAGTTCCCACTCCAGTTCCGGCGCATTGCAGTCACCTGTCATTGTTTATTTTGATTAGTCAGTGAATGGGTCCCGGTCCCCATTAATTCGGATAATTGGAGTTCTACTGTAGATCATTTTTACACGCAATATCATAAGATAAATTTTTTCTCAGATGAATAAATCCGCATTTTATCTGTGATAATGCACCAACATAAAAACAATGAATAGCAACAATTTTTATGTTTGCATATAATACAATTAAAGTTAATAAAATAGACTTTAACCAATACTCCAAAACATCACTAGCATCAATAAATGGTATTTCCATCTGTACAACAGTATGACTAACAGTAATTCCATCTTGTGGAACAATTATATCCCAGAATAAAAATAAAGGAATTGTAAGTGCTGCAATAATTACTACAAACGAAAGCAACTTATTTGTCAACCTATAATTTATTTTTCAAAATAAATAAATTTGTATAAACAGGGAAATAAACAGTTTATATAAAATACCTATGTCAATATACAATGAAAAGCTCTCTAAAGGCATAAACTAAATACACACGAGTATTTAATTCATACCACTAATTTAAGAATTAGTTTCTAGAAGATTTTTATTTCGATTTTTATTATACTTAACCAAATATCACTTTTCATCTTCTTTATAAAACATTCAATGGGCTGATCATTTTGAAAATTCACTGAGATACATTGTAAATCATTCATTATGTGTTGATTGCGTTTGTAGTTATATCTTTGATACAACGAGTTCAACAATCCAGATAAAGACGAAGCTCCAACGGCAATAGATTTTAATTTATCAAATATTTCGCCTGAATAAAATACACAACTCGTAGTAGTAATAAACCCAAAAAATAAAAAAACATCTACTATATATCCATAATATTGATAATATTTGTTTGTTTTTTCAACGAATAAAGGCATTCCGGCTATTACATTGATTGTTTTTGTGAATTTATTAATATTGTAAAAATACTCATCTGACAAAGGCATTATGACAGTAATAAAGAACTGATCAACTTTAAAAAAATGTATTTTTAGGATGCTAAAATTTACAAATTATAGAACGAACTAAGTAGGTTTAGTATTTATATAGTAGTGAGGAATAATATAAAAATTTTACAAATCTCTCAATATAACAGAAAATACACGAATATCATTATTTTATTATATTTTTCTAATAGCACGTTTTTCGAGAAATATAATATTAATAATTTATAGGTCTGATAGAATTTTTGTTATATATATGTATTGGTATTCGATTATTTAGTTATAATATTATATTACTTACTGAATTAATAAATTTGTTATTCTTAATAATACAGTCAATTTTTTAGTTTTTGAAACCTAAAGTTATTAAAAATTCAATTGAATGTGACTTCCGTGTATCCTTGTGTAAGTAAATAATATTTTTACATACTACCGAAAAATAAAATAAACTTTTTCAGTCCCGATAGTTATGATATATACATTATACTATAATTGTTATTATGAATTATTTATGATTTCAATTAATAAATCAAATGACATGGCATGTGTTAAAATATAACAATAAGCTACATATATACTTTTAAATTATTAAAAATATACCAATGTAATTTTGTATAAAAAACATACAGGGTGATTTTTTTATCATAACCCACTCAATTACTTGCAGAATAATAATAATTTAAACATTTTTTTTTTTTATTATCTTTAGTTACATATTATTCTTGAATTTTTAACTATGTAATACTTTTTAAGTTCATCCCTTATGCCTTGTAAGGGGGTCAACTTTGTTTTTTTAAATGGTAACACATATTTTTAATTTAATAAAATGTTTGAGTTTTTAATTTAATAGTAAATGGCATTTGAATTTTTAATATAACTTAATTCGTTTATTAGATATAATCATTTAAAGTTCCAAATTTTTGAGTTAATATACAGGTATAATACACAAAGGATAACAAATATAGGTTGCTAATTGGTTTTTTATGACATTGCTGTCACAGTCACGAATTGTTTATTATCAATTATGACTACCAATAGATATACTTTTTGTATTGTCAGTTAGTGTATTTATAAACTCACAACAATGTACCTTACTATCATTGAAAATAACAATGCTGTGTACCTGCTAATATCGATGTCATAAAAAACCAATTAGCTACTTATATTTGTTAGCCATTGTGTATTATACCTGTATATTAACTCAAAAATTTGAAACTTTAAATGATTATATCTAATAAACGAATTAAGTTATATTAAAAATTCAAATGCCATTTACTATTAAATTAAAAACTCAAACATTTTATTAAATTAAAAATATGTGTTACCATTTAAAAAAACAAAGTTGACCCCCTTCCAAGGCATAAGGGATGAACTTAAAAAGTATTACATAGTTAAAAATTCAAGAATAATATGTAACTAAAGATAATAAAAAAAAAAAATGTTTAAATTATTATTATTCTGCAAGTAATTGAGTGGGTTATGATAAAAAAATCACCCTGTATACTTATAATATAAAAGAAACACGAAATAATAAACAATNAAATCACCCTGTATACTTATAATATAAAAGTAACACGAAATAATAAACAATCGTAATAGTAATGTGTTAGACATAAGGTAATAAATAATGGGTAAATTTACGGAACACACAGTAGAACATTATAAAATATAGATCATTATTGACGAAAATGTATTAAATTACTACAAAACGATTAATAAAGAAATAATGGAAGCATTGGTGATCACTTCAGGCCTTTGAGATGTAATGTAATTACCATCAAATGTAATATAAAAAGTCCAAAATAATGAAAATTTTGGCTCAGATGTTACTCAAATGGTGGTCAGAATGCTCTCACTCGGTCAGTCGCGCTCAAATGCAGTTAGTAATTCTTAAAGGTTCTTAGTTGCAATCTATCACCATGAGTTAATCTTCATTCACACTTAGTTTTTCTTTAATTCATCATAGTACGCACAAAAAGTGATCCACCGTGTTCATATTTCATAAGAAAAAGGAACGTTTAATGATTTCAGAGTATTTATTGCAAATATTAAAGTAGGAAAATAATAATCTCACTAAAAATCTATAAAGTTTATTATTAAATTTAAGAGTACATAGTTTAAGTAAAAATTAAGTGATCATCAACAATAAAAAAAATATTTAAAATAAATTTAATAAATCAATAATGTTTGTACAGAGTTATTTGGAGAGTTTTGTCTTTGATACGTATCTATTTCAGAAGTTAAGTAAGAGGTTCATACATAGTAACCATACTACTATGGATAGACATACAATGTGAATCAATCCCACAGTTTACAATTGATTATAGTAAATGTTATATTAATAAATAAAAATTAATTTATTTTTCAAACATTTTTTATATTTCTTACAAACCCTCATACTCATACCCCTAAAAATAATATTATTAAAACAACAAGATAGTAACTCACCCACATCGCACCTCCAACTTTACTTTTATTTTCTTTCTTTTTGAATTACTACACAATTTTTCATTTTTGGTTAATATAATTATGATAGGCTAAAAAATATTTTTCAACCTTAAAAGTATTAAGTTTTAGAACAAATTTTACTTCAATGCTGATGATTATACAAAAGTGTACAGAAGGTATGATAGTTTTAAATAATCACAAGAAAATTGTTATTTAATATTGTCACTAATAAGAAAAAAAATTTGAAAGTTACTTTTTAGTTATTTTTTTAACAAACTGTTGTGATCAGGGTAGTAAATAAATATAATAATAAGTAACAAAACGATAGTGTCTTTATTACACCGAAGAACAATAATCTTAATTACACGTTTAAGACAATTAAATAAAATATCTTCTGCTGCAACTAAAGGTCAACGTGAAAGATCAAACGGTAATTGATAAATTCAGTTTATATCTGTTTTCCAGCGCCCGAGCGACTGGTTCACACTGCCCGTCGGCCACCACGCATAGTGCGACATGTCGTACTTGAAGAGGAAGCGCCGCGATCGCCATCCGGCGATAACACCGGTATTAAGATGTGACCGCGACATACTCCCCCCCCCCAGTCCGACCGGTCGGCCCTACAGTGCGCCTAGGGCAGTTGGTTTGGCTGTACGTCTTCCTGCCCTTCGATATCCGACATATATTTGGAATGCGCGTTCAGTATGGCGTCGACGTCCGATTCCACCTCCATCTGCTCCACCGTGTCCCCGTGCCGTCCTCCGACCACCTTCTCCAAGATCACTCTCTAACGAGGTATTAGACTGGGTGACATAGTAAGTGTCTGAGGTAGGGTCCCAACATGTAACAGCGCTGGTTCTTGCTCGAGCTGGTGATCGTGTCCATTCCGGAGTCCAGTTGGAACGGGGACGGAAACGACCGTTCTCGTTGCGCTCATTGTGGCGATTAGTCACTGGGCGACTTACTAAGGCAGGTGGTTGTTCGATACGTTGTTGAGCCGGCTGCCGGGTACGCTGGGTGTGAGACATCATACGTCTCACTCGCGTTCTTCTGCTCGGTGGTCCTTGGCCTTCCACATCTCCTGAGTTGCGTCCACTATTGGTCACTCCCTTCTGGTATATATTAGGGTGGTCCTTATCTACATAGGTCATTTTTTTTTTTATTAAATTCAATCAGGACACCCCCTAGAATTGTTCTATAGGTTAAAAAAATACATTTTATGAAGTTTCGTAACCAATCAAAGTCGTTAGAGTACCCCAATCGAGCTGCACGTTTAAGGACCGAAACATGAAGCTTCAACTGACTTTTACCCCTGGTTACATAGACCCCCTCACCTAATCGTTTACCAATTTGCACTGGACCTAGATATTTTGGTGCAAACCCCGCATGAAATTTCTTTTCAGTGCTAGATAGGGGATGTGCGTGATAATAAACCCAATCCCTTCCATAAAACGATCTAGGTGATTCTTTTGCCGAGTAGATCTGGTCCTGCGATCACTTTTACCGAAGTTCAATCCGAGTTCATCGGAGGGTTTCTCTTCCCCCCCCTCCGGGAAAAATTTATTTTTTCACCGGACCATCCGGTGTTTTCAGATTTTCCCGGTTCCTCTGTAGAAAATTGAATTTTTTCCGGTGATTTCGGTAAAAGTTTCTGTTCTACTGGAAAATTCCTCATTTCTTTGGATTTTCTCGAAATTGTCCGATTTTTTACCCGTAGAACTGATGTCCAGTAGCCAATCACCAGGAACATTTGCTTCGCGTCCAAAAGCTAAAACTGATGGTATGCATCCCATCAGTCTGTTTCTGCGGTTTCTCACTAAAAAGGATACTTGGAATGCAACTGTCCCACTGGCTGTGTGGTTTTTCGACCAGCACAGTCCGTAATCCTTTTTTCAAGTCCTGATTTTGGCGCTCAACTGGATTTGCCCTGTGGTGATAAATCGTGTCGTCCAACCTTGTGTTCCCCACTTCTCCAGTGCTTTCTTCATTGCTTTGGAGACAAATTGCGTCCCGTTGTCAAACAAGAGCGCTCGAGCATAACCAAAACGAGAGAAGAACTCTTTTTCTAACGTATCGGTGATTGACTTGGTAGTGGCCTGGCCAAGTGGATAGGCCTCTACCCATCTACTATAGCAGTCTGTTGCTACCAGTAGGCATGTTTTCCCGCGCGCAGACCTAGGATATGGGCCCATAAGATTAATACTTATGACCTCCTATGGCTGGCGTGGTTTTCTCGGTGTCATCGGATCTTGCGGTTTCCGATTCAAATGCACAAATTTAACACCTCACGACGTATTGTCGCACCGATTCTCTAATACCGGTCCAGTAGAAACGCTTACCGATGCTACGGTAGATTTCTTTCCAACCTGGATTGCCGGCTAGTTCATGGTCATGATACCTCCATAGTAGGTGATCAGCCATGACCGACGGAACGACGATGATGTTTTCGCCGGACCCCTCCGGTCCTTTTAGTAAAATACCGTTTTTCAGGTGGTATTTACCGAAAATGTATTGTGGAATTGTATTTTTACCCCGGAGTGTCTGAACATTTTTGGCCAAACTTTTGTCTTCGGTTTCCCACTGTTTAATATCCGAAACACTTATATTTTCCGGGTGGTTTCCGTCAAATATTGCCCCTATGTGATCTTCTCCGGAAAAATCATCCGTTGATGGTGGATCATGAAAATTTTCGTCCAATTTTCCCTCATTTACCTGTACTTGATTCACAGGGCTTCTCGACAACGTATCTGCGGATTGGTTTTCGACTCCAGGCACATGTTGGATGTTGAAGTCGAACAAACCCAATTGTAACGCTCAACGAGTTAGCTTACTGTTGGTGTCCCTGGTGTGATGTAGTCATTTGAGCGCAAGCTATCGGTAAGTTATGTAAACATACCGGTCTCTAAGTATGGGCGGAAACGATCAACAGCCCACACTATGGCCGAACACTCTTGTTCGACGGCAGAATACCTTGACTGAGTGGAAGACAGCTTACGTCTCGCGTACGACACAATTCGACGCTCACCTTTATTCTTTTGCTGGAACAGTACAGCACCTACTCCTACTTCACTTGTGTCCGTTTGTAGAAAAAACACGGTTTTCCTTGATGTGGGGAACAGAGTTTAGGTGCGGTAGATAGCGCTTTCTTGAGCTTGTAGAATGCTTCTCGCTCCCGTACTGCCCATCGCCATTTAATTCGTTTTGCCAAAAGATCTGATAACGTTACGATGATTTCAGTATAATTTGAAAGAAACTGACTATACCAACCACATATCCCGAGAAACTTTTGCAAATCTTTTACCTTTTTTGGTTCAGAAATATCGGCGATTGCGATTAACTTTTCTGGTTCCCAATCAATTCCGGTTGAATCAACAATGTGCTCGAGAAAATTGATCTGTAAAACCCCCAAATTAAATTTTTTTGGTTGAACAGTTAAACCGTGTGTTTGTAACCGTTCTATGACTCGTTGTAGGTAATTGAAATGTTCCTTCATACTCAGTGAATACACCACAATGGCATCCAGGTATACAAACACGAATTTACCAACGTATCCACGCATAACTTCGTTCACCAACCGTTGAAAAGTAGCCGGGGCGTTTTTAAGACAGAAGGGCATTACTTTAAATTGGTAGAGGCCCATCTGTGTGCGAAACGCGGTGAATGGTCGTGATGCTGGTGTCAGACCTACTTGCCAATAACCGGACTTCAGGTCGATGGTGCTGAAGACGTTAGCGCCATCCATCCCTCTGACCATGTCATGTAAGTCGGGCATTGAATGTGCGTCGGTTCACATATCGTCGGCCACCGAGCATAGCGTGACCTATCGTACGTGAAGAGGAAGCGCCGCGATCACCATCCGGCGGTAACACCGGAAATGCGATGCGACCGCGACAAAACATTTTGATGAGTCGATTTTAATGTTAGATAAGTACATATCATGTCACAACCCACATAGCAATTTCAATATATTAATATTGTCAAAATATTCTTACAAAATACTTTTTAAAATATTTTGAATAAAATA